TAACCCCTGGATGTTCCTCTTTTTCTCTCTGTTTCCTAGATGCCAGGAGGAAAGCAGCTCTGCTCCACTACACCCTCCCTTCCATGATGGTCAGCCTTATGTCAGGCCCAAAGGGATGGAACCAAGAAACCATGGACTGAAACTGTGAGCCAAAATAAATATTTCTTCTCTTAAGTTGTTTTTCTCAGGTATTTTGTCACATTGACGAAAAATGACTAACACACTGGGACAACCATATTGTATAGATTAGGAAGAGGAAGACAAGAGAGAAATGATAATAGAGTGACTATTGATTTAGGGAGTTTAGATGTAAAAGTACAAAGAGAAATGAGACAGAATTTCAGCAGGTCACAGAATTAGGTAGGAGGAGAGGAAGCTAGCATTTGCTAGACTATCTGCTATGCAGAGCAAACACATCCGTTCACTTAAAACTCAGACAATCCTAAGGAACTAGCCATATTAGCTTCATTTTAAAGAAGAAACTAAAGCTCAGAGAGCAAATGTTACACAGCTAGAAAGTGGGAAGGTTGTGAGTCAAATTCCAGTTCTACTGGATTTCAAGTAGCTCTTAGAGTAACCCCCCCCCACACACACACCTTAGATGTGATTTCAGTTAAAGGTGGTTAGCCATGGTTCAAAAATATTAAATGGAAAATTCCAGAAATAACTCTTAATTTTCAAGTTATGCACTGTTCCGATCAGCATGATGAAATCTCATGCTCTCCCACTCCGACCTGCCTAGGTTGTTGAATCATCCTTTGTCAAGTGTCTCTATTCTGTTTGGAAGGTTTTTGTTTGTTTGTTTGCTTTGTTTCGTTTTTAGGTGATACTGGGGTTTGAACCCAGGGCTTCACGCTTTCTAGGTAGGCTCTCTACTACTTGAGCCACACCACCAGCTCAACAGTAGCCATTCTCTCTACATTACCTGCCTACTAATAATTTAGTAGCAGTCTCTGCTATCAACAGTCTCTGTATTGGTATTGCAGTGCTTGTGTTCAAGTCATTCCTTTTTTACTTAATAATGGCCGCAGGGAGGTAGTGAGGGAAGATTGTGATTTCAAGGCCTGCCTGAGCTTCTACATAGTGAATTCCAGACCAGCCTTGGCTACATAGTCTTAAAAAAAATGATAATAACATGGCTTCAAAGCATAAAAGTAGTGATGCAAGGCACAAAACATGGAAGGACAATAAACTCTGATCCTAATGCTGCAGAGCCTATGAGAGAAAAACATTTGTCTAGGGCTTAGTACTTACTATTCATAGTTTTGAAACCAGGAGTTCGGGGCCAGAGGCCTAACTCCAGGGTTTCCACAGGTTTGGGTTCAGCCACTTACCCAGTAAGCAAAATAAAGAGATTAGTAGTGGTCCAGGACAGAGAAAGGAGACTTATTACATGGCTTACAGGAAAGGGCAGTTAGCACTTCAACCCATCTTTAGGTTTAAATAGAGGAAGAGTGGGACAGGGGAGAGAGATATGCATAGCTAAGCAGTCCTAGGCAAAGTGTGGCCTGGTCGATCATTATCTCAGTTCTGCTTCTGCAAGGGATTACCAAGAAGTTGTTATCACTGTCATCACTTGAGTGGAGTAATCTGGTTTCCATGAGATGATTGCTCCTGCTCTAGGGTACAGCTTCCTCATTATAGGTAATTGTCCTCATTTCAAATGGGGCGGGGGTCTGTCATGCAGGGCTCTGCTAATCCTTTCCTTGGGGATAGTTTTGTTCCCTTGTCATAAAAATATTATTGATCAGTCCTGCCCTTCCTGGAACCCAAGGTGATTTCAGGGTAAAAGAGGCAGATGCAAAATGGAGGTGGGGCTGCCAAGCTTTTCTCCTGCTTTTAGTTACCCTTTGGACATTTGAGGAGTCAGTGCTTTTCAAAAGTAGTTTCTTTGTACTGGTTATAATTTCAGTCAATCGCTGGGGTTCTTGGAATGCATTCCTCATGGGTAATCCATACAGTCTACTATACCATGTCTCAGGTGTATGATTTTAAAGAGAGAGGAAGAGAGATGAACAGAGGTAAAAACTGAAGCCATAGGAAGGAGACAGACCAAGAGTAAGAATCAAGGTGTCTCCAGAGAGATGGCTTGCATCGCCCCTCCCTGACTCAAACTTCCTCCAGCAACAAACCCTCCACAGACCTCATGAGCATCCTCTCCCCTACTGTGGTTACTTTATCAACTGTTCCTCTGTTAATCAGCTTCCTGCCATAGGGCTTCTACCCTACTTGACTGGTCACTGATATCCTCTGGTTGCTAAATCCCCTGGTGCTGTTTACCCCAGTCCACCACTCCTTCCTCCTTAAAGCATGTGCTCAGGTGGCATTGCATTCTTGATGCACCTCTTATCAACTGCTCAGTCTTTCTCCTTCATCTTTCCAGCCTGTCATTAATTGTTGATGTCCCCGAAGCTCCTGTTCTTGATCCCCTTTCCTTCTCTGTTCTCACATCCCTGTGTGAGTTCATCTATTCTATGACTTCAGCCTCCATCTAGGGCTGATGGCCCACGGTCCCTAACTCCATCAGGCTCACCCACCTACTCCACCTCAGTTCTAGACTGCAGTATCACACGTCCACTTGCCTGTCTCATAACCACCTCAGATTCAAAATGCCCCAAATCAAGTTCCTCATTTCTTCCCCCAAACAGCATCTTTTTCATCTGTTCATTTTTAAAATGAAAGTCACCACTTTCCCTGGAGAGGACCCTTAACCCCCCTTTTCCTTGACTGCCCATCCAGCCCTTCCATGGTCAGATACACTCTCACTCCTGTTTATCTCTCAATCCCATCTAGGTCTGTTCATCCCTCTGCCCTGGACACTCATGGGAGCATGTCTGTCTCTGCCCCTAGGCTCGCCTCCTCTCTCTTCTGCCAGAATTGCCTCTCTAAAATGTAGTTTGGCTCCCCACCTTTTGGGAGTTCTCACTGCCCTCAGGATAAAACCTAAACTCCTTAGTGTTGACACAGGCCCTTCTTGAGTCTTGCATTCCTTTCCTAGGCTACCCCAAATTACTTACACTTCCCCAGACTTGCCATGTGCACTTGGCTTTGGGCCTTCATGCCTAGTCTTCCTCTGCCAGGAATCCTTGACTCTCTCTCCTTAGCCAACCTCTCTGCTCGGAACCTCAAGGTAACTCTCCCTCATCCCACCATAGGCTGGCTGCCTCCTCTCTGACATGGTCCCATAGCACTCTACCTTTTCTTCTCATGGCCCTTCTTGCTCCACAAGTGCTGGCTGTTAACACGTACAGCTCATTCACCACCCTACAAATTGGAGACTGTGTTTTCTTCACTGTTGCATACCCAGGGCCTAGAATATGCAGCTCAGAGAAAGGTGGGATGCTGTGGTGGTGGAGAGGTGGCAGCTGGGCTCAAGCCCCATTCTACCACAAACTGGGGAGTAAACTAGGGCACACAAGCTATTCCATGATTGAGCTCTTCGGTCTTCTCATCTATGAAATGATCAAATCAGAATGCCTAGAACTATGACTAAGTAAAACTACCAAGAGCTGTTGAGGATTAATTGAGCTTATGCACACACAGAGCTTGGCAGAGTGTCTGGCACAGAGCGAAAACAGTGCAGTTTGCCATTGCTCCTTTTTGCATGAATGAGCCTCTGTGGCTTGAGGTGGGGGTGGAGTGACAGAGGAAATGCACTTTCCCAGAGTCCTGGGGCAGGGAAGACTGAGGAGCAGTGAGGACAGCTGATGCATTCAGACAGTTGAGGGCCCTGATATCAATATACCAGGAGGATTTTCAGCGTGGAAGTTAGGAATCCCAGACACGTGGCCAAGCAGAAGACTTAGAATGTCACCTAGTAGCAACCGGAGAGGCTGCTGGCATCATAGGTATACTGATTTTCCCTGTCTGACAGGTCAATACTGCTATCCTCTCCCAGGGCTCCTCTTCACAAAATCTCATGATTAGTTCCTTGTAAAGATGACGCATGTGCACCAACCTCTGTTCTTCAGAAGACTATCTGTTCTTTAGTCATTTACCACATTGGGGCAACTGGCTGTCTACTTGCACACGGCTTGCTGCTGTTCTGAGTCAGTGTGTTGCTGTCCTATGTCTGAGGCAATGTATCTGAGCACCTTGGTCTTCCCAGACTCCGTGGGAAGGACACAGGTCCATTTCTAAGAATTGTGGATGGCACACGAGTGCGTGCAAGGTCACTGTTGATAGGAGAGGGTGGAGAGGACTCTGCTCCAAAGTCTAATGAGAATGCATCAAAAGATATGTTTTACTAAACATGAATAAAAATAACTTCTGTGAAGTTTTGTGCAACTTTGCTATGAACGCAACATCCACGTAAATTAGTCATCCTCATCGGCTTTAACTGGTCACGTAGCATGTTCAATCTTCATAACTCAAATATGGGATCTCCATCTGCTGCTCCTTTTCCCAGTTCCTTTGCTGTTGTTTAATTACCAGTAATACTGAAGATGAAGTCTTGTTCTTTCTTTGTTCTGAGTCTCCTCTCAGTGCAGTAAGCTGTGCACATGCACGGTCCTCTCCCATTGAGGCAGTAGAATGTAAGCTGTCAAATGATCCCCTCTTCACATGACTTCTCAGCTTCCTGTCACATATTTAATTGGCCTGGCTGGTCTTACAGTCTAAAATCTAGCATGTAAGGTTTTCTTTCTTCTTACAGTTTAGTGAAAAGTTGTAGTGTGGTATAACCAAGTGCATTTTACATGGGCAGAAAAGAAGAATGAAAATATTTTAAAGGTTTATCAAAGAAAATGTTGAACTAGCTGGAATTTTGAATCTGGGCTGTCCTGCTTTTTGTCAGTGGTCTTTAGCTACATGAGGTTTCTAAGAAGTATGAATATTTATTTTCTCTTTTTAGCTTTTTAGGGAATAAGATACTCTCGGTATCAATGCCCTCAGATTCTGTGGTCATCCTCTCCCTACAACTGGGGCTGTCTGACAGTCATGTACCCACCCCACTCTCCTTCTCCCCACCAGCCCAGAACCAACCCCCACCCTCAGGCAGACCAACCTAAGCAACTCAGATTCAGTGTTACCTGTGGTGTTGATCTGATCCTGATTTCATTGCTTAATTCTAAAATTAGCTCTCTCTTTTATTCCTGAGATTTGGTTCCCAACTCATTAGGGATATGGACCCCTGTCCGGGCATCCCTGTTTGGAGTGATGTGCCCAGGGTTTTGTCTAGCATCCATGCTCTCCAAGACTCAGGGCCACCTTGCACTGTGGCCTGATGGTAAGTGCAACATGCTTTGCAGACTGACTTCCTCACTGACTTCTGCTTCCCTCCCCATGTGCTCCAGGAGTCCATGTGGCAGGAGTCTGGTGTGGGTCCACATGCTCCACTCAACTCCTTGGTGAACCACCTATTATCATCTTTTTCAATGAACTCTTATTGCTGAATTCCATGCCCTGCTTGTAATAAGGGACTTTTCTCCAGCCCATAGTGTCCCTGAAGGCTTGCCACACCCCCATAGGGAGGAATCAATGGCTGAGCGAGTCCTGAGCCTCCCAGGTGGCCCTTCTCACTGAACTTCACACCTTGTTAAACTTTAGATGGAATAAGTGGTGGTCTTCATGGTCAAAGAGTTTAAGGACTTGATTTCAAGTCTGTTTCTACTTTTTTTAGACTCTTGCCTGTCCTACTAAATATAAATTTTCTTTAAGATTCCAACAGATGCCTTGCTTCAAAGTCAGGCTTATCAGAGAGTTCCCTGGAAGGAATAGACTCAGGGCAAAGGAGTAGTATGGTCTTCAGAGCTTTTCATTATAAACATGTTGGAATACGTAGAACACGCCTTTCTAACAAATGCTGAGAGGAGTTAACTTTTCACACTTCATGTATAAATCTGAGTCAATGCTATCAACTCATCCTTGGGGGCCAATGGGATGATAGATATTAAGGTTAGATCATCTCTACTCATCCATGACAGTGGGATAGTCATCACCCTCACTTAGTGCCAAGTATCCTGGGTAGCACACATACACTCTGTCCTTAAAAACAGGGTCTTTTTAAGGTGATTTTCCTTAAAAATAGGGTCTTTGTGGATTGTGTTAAAATGGGATCATACTAGGTAAGGTGAGTCCTAAGCCTAATGTAATCAGTGTTGTTAAAAGAAGAGAAGATACAGAGAAACAAACACACACAGAAAAGGTCATGTGAAGACAGAAGAAAAACTCCATGCAACAACAGAGTCAATTTGCAGTGACGTGTGCAAGCCAAGGAATGCAAAGCATTGCTGGTAACCACCAGAAGTTAGAAGAAGCAAGAAAGGGTTCTTCCCTCCAGCATAGGAGGGAAGCACGCCCTGCAGAAAACTTGATTTCAGATTTGTAGCCCCCCCGAACTATAAGAGAATAAAATTCTCTTGTTTTAAACCACCTTTTTGCTAGGGTAGCTCTTCATTTGCAATCTCCATCTTACAAATGAAGTGAGGGGAGCTCAGAAAAGCTAATTCACCGAATAGTAAGTGTTTAGCACTCCTTGACTCCAAATGACTGAACCCTGCACTCCCCAACTCCCTTCTTGGTTGATCTGGCCATCAGATTGGGGGCGGGGTTCTCTTTCCCATCTATTAAAATAGTATTCCAGATAAATTATGTAATAACAACAGCATTTCCATAGTAACAGTGTGTAGGACATTAGTTCTGAGGAGTGTTAGAATGTGTTAATGTGCAAAAGAAATTTCATAATCCAAAAAGTGGAGAGAAATTCTTTGCAAATAAAGCTTCTTTTTCTGTAGGGCCCCTAGATCCTTTAAAATGCATTATAAATGTCCAAGAAAGGGTTACCAGAGCTTGCTGTGTTTCTCAGGCTGAGTTGACCATTGAGCATCTCAGGGGATTTGTAGTCTGTGAAAGATATTTTAAGAAGAGTTGAATTAAAGAAAGAAACAAACAAAAAGACCCAAAATTAAACCTTTCATATTTTTAACATTGTTTTCAGACCAACCCAATTTTGTGAGTTACATCTTCACATAGGTTTCTGAAAGAAAATTTAAAAAATATTACTGGTGTGTCATAAATATGTTTATAAATTGACTGTGATGTCTCATGTCTGCAAATCCAGCTACTTGGGAGGTAAAGATCAAGAAGATGGTAGATTGAGGCTAGCCCAGGCAAAAAGTTGGCAAAGCTCCATCTCAACCAATAAGCTGGGCATGGTGGTTCATGTCTTGTTATCCCAACTATGCAGGAAGTACAGGAGGAAGATCATGATCTGAGGTCAACCCAGGCAAGAAGTGAGACCCTATTTTAAAAAATAACTAAAGCAAAAAGGGTCAGGCGCAGGTGGCTCACACCTATAATCCTAGCTACTCAGGAGGCAGAGATCAGGGGGATCCCGGTTCAAAGCCAGCCTGGGCAAATAGTTTGCGAGACCCTATCTTGAAAATACCCAACACAAAAAGGGCTAGCAGAGTGGCTGGAGGTGAAGGCCCTGAGTAACTTCGAGTCCAGGTACCACAAAAAGTAAATAAATAAAAAAGCAAAAAGGGCTGGAAGTGTGACTCAAGAAGTAGAGCACCTACCTAGCAGACACAGGTCCTTGAGTTTAAGTCCCAGTCCTGCCTGGGGAAAAAAAGAAAAGAGAGAAAGGAATATGCTTATAAACCATTTCTTGGAGTAGGTTACACTAATGCTTTACTGTGTCTCTTTTACTCTTTAGACCATCACGGGAATTCTCAGGGTCTGGTTCAAAGGTCATTATGAACATGCCTATGATCGACCAAGGCTGAGTTTGTGGCCTCATATCTCAGGAAGCATGCATACCAGTGGTGCAGTGCACGCTTGTAATTTTATGTTGTACAGCTTCCCTCTCAAATACTAGTTTAACTCTCTCATGCCCAAAGTGGCACTCAGTCGCTCTTGGATGTTTCCAGTTGTACGCCCTACCACCAGGTTCTCAGTGGGGTTAATTCAGATATCTGCCCGGTACAACCATTTCCTGGTGACATCTTCCTATAGGATAGCTAATGCCCTACTTGACTGGTCTCGCTGGTCATCATACCCCACATGGACTGTGAAGCTAGGTCACAGTGATCATGTTTCAGTCACAGTGTTTTTCTTGGAACTTGTGTTTACTTCCTTTAACCCTCCAATTGGAACTGTCCATGGGATGCCCTGTACCTAATAAAGGGATTGGCCTGTGGGTTCGTCTCTCTGTTCCTGTCTGTACTCCCTGATCTCCATATGTATGACCTCCAGATGAGCTGTGTACCTCACCCACCCTCCAGACCTGTAAGTAAGAAAATTTTTATTTCTCTTTTGTGTCTTTTCTAATCATTGAAGGGGTGCTCTCTATCCTAAAGACCCTAAATTAAAACAACCGGGGGCTAGTGGAGTGGCTCAAGTAGTAAGAGTGCCTGCCTAGTAAGTGTGAGGCCCTGAGTTCAAACCCCAGTGATGCCAAAAAAATACTATTTTCTAAATTCAAACAACTGGAAACCAGAGTGTCTGAGGAAGAAGATGTTGTAAAGGAATCATTACAGGTTTTGTGCTGAAGTTAAGTAATTTGGGGTAGATTCAAAGAAGCAGCAGTTTGCAGAAACAAACATGATCCTTAGTTCTTATAACAGATTCTGACGACAGGGACCCACATCATGCTCAGACAATCAAAATAGGTCCCCCAACCCATCTGGTTTTTGACTAGACATCCAGGATGCTCTTCATCTAGTCATGGACTGCTCTGAGTATTTGTGCGAGTGAACCCAGAAGTGTTTACTCTAGCTTAAATTTCTCAGTGGCTCATGATTCTTCATGACAACACTGCCTAATGGATTTAAATTTAATCCTGGCTTCTAGAGCAGAAGCTGTGTGATTGATGACTTTTTCCAGGATCAGAAACTGTTTGCATGATCGTCTCCAGATGCACTATCCTAGCTGTGGCTGTTGTTCCTCCCAAGGCTGTGATACAGGGCATCAGGTCTCCCTCCAAGAGTTCCCTCACATATTCTCTGATGCCTCTTAGAAGTTTCTCTGGATTCTTTGGGTGACACTTGAGTCACTAACTCAAGGGGTGGTAGTTTAAAACATCTCTAACAATTATCCAAATACATGAGAGAAATGCATGTGTGGCAGGTGGGTGTAAGCTTGATGTCCTTATCAGGATTGTCCTAGTGGGGTAGAGGTATTGATTTGAGAGTTTCAGAGTCATTGGCTACAACAGGAATGAACCTTGTTCCATATTTGGTGGAGGTGTCACTTGAGATGGGCAGATTTCACCAGTTGTGTCAAATGGGCCCCAAAAGTAGGCTGCAGTGTCTCTGAGGGAGATGAAGTGACTATTTTCATTCAAAAGAAACACCATCATTGTCCTCACTCCTAAAGTGTTATGTCCCATCTTTGCCCCCACTCCTGAAGGGCTAGGTCTTGCTGATAAAATTGTAAGGACCTAGAAGTATTTTATCGACATGGAATCAGTGTACTGTGTTCTTAAGACTGATACCTATGATTAAATTTTTTTTTATAGTAGTGGGGTTTGAACTCAGAGTCTTGTGTTTGCTAGGCAGGTACTCTATCATTTCAGTCACATCCTCAGCCTAAAATTATCTTTTTTGAAATGATTTTTAAAGCCAGTGATTAAATTTTTGCCAGCAATTAGTTAGATTAAGAATAGTACCTATGGTCTGAGCAAAATGCATCAGGGAGTTTTGCTTCTTTCTTAAGTGGCAAAAAATCATACTGGGTCCAAAATGACAAGATGAAGTCAAGGGAGATCATGTTAGTGAATAGAGGTGACCAAAGTTCAGTAATCAATACAATGGGTACCAGATAACAGGGAAAGAAAGTTCCCTGTCAGAAAAATCAGAAAATTCACCAAAGGCAGATATAAGAGGATGGTGGGTCAAGACCATCCTGGGCAAAAATTAGTGAGATCCTACCTCAAAATCAGCCTGGTGTAGATGTATATGTCTGTAATCCCAGCCACTTGGGAGGTGGAGGCAGGAGGATCTCTGTTAAAAGCAGAGACCCTGTCAGAAAACAAACTACAAACAACAGAACTGGGTTATGGCCCAACTGAGAGAGTGGGAGGTAGCGGGTAGTGAGGTGCCTCCCTACCACAACCATTAAAAAAAAAATCAGAAAACTCTTTTTATTCTGTCTGCATGTAAGCTGTTTTTTTTTTTTTAACTTTTTTACAAATACTATTCATTTTAATGAAGGTGGTATAGACAATGTCCATTTAAAACCCATGTCCCAGTTCAAAAAGTACAAATAAAATCAGAATGGAGCAGT